AATGAGATTGAAAGACTAATGGAAGAAATTTTTAAGGAATTAGAAAAATCTATTTCATCAACTAAGATGAATATAGAAAGACTATCTTTACCATTTCCTCGGCCTTAAGGGGAAGAACTAGAAGATCACTTAAATTAGTAAGGTAATCTAGTATAATTTGATATGAAATCTGAATCATCTAGAGAGAATTTGATCTAAAATTTGGGAGATCTTGTACTATCTTATAAAGTTCAAGGATGATATTAATATGCAAATTGAGAAAATCAATAAAAGAAAATTAAACTAGAAAGAAAATTGAGGAATAATAATTTGTATAAATCTAGAAAGAAAAGGCTGAAAGAAAAACTGAACATTGAGGATTTAGTGGCGGTGTTAAACCAAGTGCTTTATGAAAGGAAACTCATAGTTATCAATGTGGTTTGATTTAATATGCTTGAGAGTCATGATTGTTAATATTGTATTATGTTTATATTAGTATGGGTTGATGATCCCGACCTTTATATGTCAATGTGATGTATGTGCTTATATTCTTAATTTTTCCTTACTTATAGTTCTTACTTTGTCAAAAACTTGATCACTAGCAATAGCTAGGAAAAAAAATTAACTTCGACGCAAATAAGAATATAATGATTATATTTAAAAATTGGTACTATGTAAGTGTACATATCATTATCAAGTATATATGACTTTTTGATTAAGCCCTGAATATCCTCTCCACCAAAGTCTTGAAGTTCCTTTGAATCTCTTTCTCCACTTACAATACAAACTACAACATAAAGTAAAAAAGAAAAGTGGCAGCAGCAGGGCGGTTATGAGCGACGGCAGTTATGGGCGACGACAGCGGCATGTGGGCTACTGGAAGGGGGTTGGCAATAATGATGGATTGCTTCTCCTTATTAATCTAAGTCTTATTTATAATTTTCTAAAAGGTGTCTGGGTGTCTTTTCAAAATGTGTCCACATTCAATGAATCTTCCTAGAGTTGCCTTCATTCAAAAGCCAATTGAATTTAATTTCATGTCCATTAACTATTTCTCACATTTTCACCAAGGGTTGCTTCAAACACCTCTTAAAAAATTCATCCAAATTCATTAAATCATCAAGTAACTACTTCTAGCACTTAAGTGTGAGGTATTGGGCACTTTGACGCAACCTTCTATGTTTCACTGCCACGTAAGCGCCAGTTCTAGGCGCTTAGGCACCTTAGTTCAATTGCACACTTTCTTCATTTTTGCTCCAAGTTTGATCCCTTTTCAGTCCTTTTACTATTTTTCATCCATTTGACTATATCTGAAAGAAAAACACACAAATATCTTTCATTAAATTATAATATATCAAAAATCGCTATAAAAATGTGTACATAAATACTATATATTTTAGGTGTATCAGTCGATCAGTTTGACTGATGTTGATGGATTTTTGGATTGTTTATGAATGGATTTGATATTTATGTGTTTCATGAGGAAGGTGATTCCTTAACTTCTTATTATTGCTAAACTTGTTTATGTTCTCTTGTAGTAATTATATTGAGGAGTCCACTACGACTCGGGTCTTAAGTAGACTTGAGTTTTACAAGAGACATTTTGAGTTTGGACAGTGAAAATTTCATCTCAATTTTTTCACTTTCTTTCTCTGTTGATGTTTTCATTTGGTAGGGTCATTAACCTACTTGATGTGCAACATATGGATGATATTGCACTACCCTTATAATTGTTATAGGTGCATGCTTAATGAGATAAGGTGGTGCCTGAGGTTGGTGCTCCAGAGCCAATATATCAGGGATAATCGTATCCATGAGATTATACTCTATAAAAGCATTTAAAACTATCCAATTTATCTGTGTAGTGATTCTGTTATAAATTAGAGGTAAGGTAGTGAGATGTAATGAGTTGAGGAATGAATTAACCTCATATATCATGTGTGTTTGTGTTTTGTGTTGCAACAATATAAAGGACTCGTGGAACACTTAAATATATATTCCTATGTTGATACCTGACATGCTTGTTAGACCTCTCCTTAGTTCAATTTTATTATGGCATGTTTAGTTTAGATTTACTTTCTATTGCATATTATTATGTCCTGATGAATACATGTAGATGTTTTTTTATAGACATTTGTGATAGATATAATTTCGAAACTGTTTTTCTTCTTTATTATTTTTTTTTGTACTCAATGTTATGCATGTTAAAAATCAAGTTTGAGGGAAAGAAAAATATATTTAAAACTTAACTTTATTTGTCCTTAGTAGTCTGTATTCAAATTGATATCATTTTAATATGACTTGAGGTATGTGGTATTTTCTTTAGGATGTTATACTTTTGATTTTTAGAAATTCAATAAGAAAACTTAGTAAAAATTTTATTAAAAATAAGAAACTAAAGTTAAGATGTTTCAAAGGAAATAATAGGAAAATGATTTTACTATTTATAGTAGTAAAAAAAATGAATTTTTGAAAAATTAAAGATTTTTAGAATAATACCTTTTGAAGACTTTAAACTCTATAAAAATTTCTTTTTCTAATACTACATGTTAAGTTAAGAATAGAAAATAAGTTTTTAATATTAGAAAAGGGATAGTGAAATTCAATATCATTAAAGATCTATCCAGATATACTAATCCTCACCTAAAAAGAAAAGAAAAGAAAAATGAAAGAAAAAGAAAAAGAAAAAAAAGAAAAAGTGATGAAAAGTAAAGTATGAAAAATGGAGGAATACCATGAGGAATAGGACCTAAGTAAAAATTAATTTCACTTGAATATTTCTAAGGACGAAAATTTAAGATCAATCCTATGCTTAAGTTCAGATAGTATTAATTTTTTTTTTTCATTATAGAATTCATAAATTCTGAAAATAATATTTTCGTAAAAATATAACGTTTGTACAAATTTCAATTATGTCTGAATTAAATAGAAAATCAATATTTCTAAATTTAATATTGAATATTCGTATCCTTAGATATCATCTACTTTACTAAAAATTCTTTCAAGTTGGACTATAACATTTCTAAAACAAATTTTAGATCATCTAAAAGAAATCCACTACCACAAGTTAACAATTTTATTTTTAAAAGTTACAGTATTACTTAAGGATAAGTAACGTTTAAGTTTGGGGAATTGAAACGCCTAGAAATTACCTAATTTTCTTTATACATTTCACACTTATTTTTAATGATATTGCACTTGAATGGAATGTATTTTTCATGTTTTTATTGCATGTGAAAGAAATCATTTTTTGGAGAAAGTGGAGCAAAAACGGTTTTCCTAATCGTAGTATACTAGAATTAGCCTAAGGGATTTCTTAACTTGCTTCTATGTGGGATTGATAATGGGGTCTTTAAAGAAAACCCTATATTACTTGAAACGATACATATACTTCCGTAGTACCCCTAGTGTGTAAACTATTTTTTTAAAATTTCAAAACATTTCGATTTTGCACACTAGTCACTAAATATAGATTGGGTCAATTTTTTTACCATTTTTTGAAACTAAATTACTGTGTAATTGAGGGTCGGGTCACCCTCCAAAATGCCTAGAACCTCGGTGAACCCCAAATCCATCACGATAACATCCTGGGAAGCTCATGTTCGGCAGGAGTTGCGGTCTTCGTACCCTCACTCAAGGAGTGACCCATCATTCGATCCAGATCAGAGGTCATGAAGGAGCATCCTCCCTCCCCTTCCTCCAGCTCCATCTGCAAAAGAGAAGAAACTTGTGAGGGAGCATCCACCGGGCAAAAATCTAGAGCTTCCCCTTGAATATTATTAGGTAGAACCTCCGGATGTGTCAACATTTTGGGGGGTCCTTGATCCTTTTCTACCTTCAGCTAAGACAAAATCAAAGGACTGATCGTTTGATCCGTTTGATCATCCTTGGATTAAACCTTTGTTCGGCGTATGATGTTTCTTCACAGGAAAACCCACCTCCACACTCAAAGAACCTGCTACGTGGTGACCATTGTTTGAGTTTGAAAAGCTCGAAGGTGTTGACCTCAAGCGCAAAATGTTTATTGGGCCACTCATCTTTATAGGTTGTTGTGGCCCTTTTCTTCATTGATTGAAAAACCAAAGCATGAACCTCCTCGCCAACACATTTAGGAAGCTAACCACCCACCATACTCAGCAACACTAAGAATGATGAAAGGCCAACCCGAAAGAACGCCTGAGAAATAAGCCTCATCATCTCATTATCTTTATTTATAATGGCCTTGGCATCGAAATCAAGAAATAGTTAGCTATTGTGCATTACATAATCATTAACACCACAAACTTGTTCAAAAAATCTAGATTCCCTTGTCCTTATCGTAGCTGTCGCTTTCAAGGAACAAGAGAATCGAAGAACTTTGATATGTACATCAAATATATGCCAGCACGAATCTCGAACATATCTCAAGAAGAGTTGATGTGGCATCATGGCACCCATCAAGGGATCCGGGCCACATTTGTGTGAGGAAATAAGCAAGAGAACCAAGCGACTAATTACCTCCGTTTGCATCGGTCCTTAGCAAGTGGCCGCCTGGCCTAACGACCGCCAGGCCTAACAAGCCGTTCGACCTAACGGTCGTTCAAACCAATGGCCACCAGCCTCTTTCGACGGAACATCTTTGAACCTCTGGGCCACATTTATGTGTAGACTTAAAAACCCTAATCGTATCGACGTGTACTAGGGGTATAGTATATAGTTGCACATCTCACTTTCAAATAAATAACGGTTTGGTTCTTTTCATGAATAAAGAATGCGTTATTTTAGTGTTCACGACTCATCTCTCAACTCTCTGCTCTCTGCTCTCTGCTCTCTGCTCTCTCTTTCTGATGTGTTGTATTCCTTTTGTTCGCCTCATCAACAGATTGTGATTCACCAAGTAGAGAAAAGTTTGTGCAAATTTGAGTGATTTCTTTTATGTTAATCTATTGCATATGACACTGTTAAGAGTAACCATCTTTTGACTCCACATCTTTTTCTTTTATAATGAGTTCTAGGCTTATTTTTCTAATAAAAAAAACTACAAAAAAAAATGTACACTTAGCATGCGGCATCTGCTTGTTTCTTCGAACGATTATGTTCAAATCAAAACTTCCTGCAAAAACAACCCGACATCGCAGCAGCAGTTTCTATTTCGCCGGCGATCACTTCGTCCGTCGCCCGTTCTCTTCTTCAGCTACTTCCACTGAGAAGAACGATCGGACGTCACAGCTCCATGAAACAGCTTCAAAGGTCTGCGACGTAATCCGACGGCAACCAAGGTGGGAACTTTCCTTCCGTTCCCTTTTCCCTCCAACCTCCGCCATCTTCCACCCTAACTGCATCAGCCTTGTCATTCATCACCTTTCAGATTCCAATCCCCTGCTATCTTTCCGTTATCTTCTCTGGCTCTCCTCTACGTCTTCTACATTCTCCCTTGATCCTGAAGCCGCCGCATCCTTCCTAAATGCTCTTGCGGCCTGCCGTTCCTGGAGATCAGCCTTGCACGCAATCCGTTTGGTGAAAGGCCTCAATAATGTCTCCGTCCTCGACACCTTTGTTCTTCATCTCTGCAGCGATACCCGTTCCATTTATCGCGATAAAAACCTGCTTTATGAGCTCCGCGACGTCGTCGAGAACCATTCTACTAAACTATCGCTTCGTTCATGGAACTCAATACTTTCTGCCTCTCTTATATCTGAAAAGACCGATCTTTTCCACAGTTGCTACGCCATGATGATCGCAGCGGGCACTACTCCGGACGCATCTACTGCCGGGTACCTTATCCGAGCCTTGTGCCGCGATGGCGAGCCAAACGAAGCATACCATGTCCTCCGCGATGTCTCCAGGAAAGGGATCATACCTGACGTGGTTTCAACAACTCAGTTGATTTCCTCTTTCTCCAAAGCTGGAGACTTTGGTAGAGTTTCGGCAATCCTCCATCTCATGATCGCTTGCGGCTCCCAGCCTGACCTGTTAACCTACCAGGAAATCATCCACGCCCTCTGCGACGGAGCCGGCGGCGCCACCATGGTCCACGAGGCATTTCGTATATTCACTGACCTGAAGTTAAAGGGTTATGCTTGCGACGTTGTTATGTACACTTCCATGATCCATGGACTTTGCAAGATCTGCCGGATGGGGGAGGCTTTATTGCTCTGGTCGGAGATGATAGCCAAAGGAATTCAACCCAACAATTATACCTATAATGCGGTCATTAACGGTTACTGTAAGGCCGGCAATATGGACCATGCACGCAAGTTGTATGCAGAAATGCTCTCAACTGGTTTTGAGGAGAGCACAGTGAGCTGCAACACAATGCTTGCTGGGCTGTGCCTTAACGACATGCTGGCTGATGCCATCAACTTGTTTTCTGAAATGCCAAACAGAGGAATCATGCGTGATGTGATCACTTACAACATTTTGATCCATTGCCTTTGCAAAGAAGGCAAGACATCTGACGCGATCGAGCTCTACTCAAGCTTGCTAGCTACGAGCATCAAACCAAGCGTTTCGACATACACGCCACTGATCATGGCTTTGTGTGAGGAATGTAGAGCAACGGAGGCAGTGGAGCTGATGAAGCTCATGAAGGCTCAAGAGCTGGAGCCATTGGTTTGCTCAAATGATGTCATCATAGCTGGGTTTTGCAAGCTGGGTGATGCTGAGAATGGCATGACTTGGTTGTTTAAGATGTTGCAGAGCAATCTAAAGCCTCGAGCAGAGACTATGAACAGGTTAGTTGAGTGCTTGTGTTCGCTTGGTCTAGTGGATTATGCACTACAGGTGGTGAAAACCACGTTTGATATCAACTATAGTTTGGCATCTTCAGTGTGCCATGTTCTCATCAGCAAGCTCTGTGAAGTGGATTCTAGCCGAAGTTGTGAGCTTTTGGATGAAGTAGTGCTGATGGAGAGGTAATATTCAAATGCTTCTTATATTCCGCGACTTGGTGGGACGAATTTATATTTGTTGTTGTGTGGTGTCTTTGGCCATGTCTGGGTATGTAATGGATTCGGCTGCTAACTAAACGTGAATTTATGTTCTTTAGTCATAAAATAAAATGCTATTTTTTTTAGGAGGATGAACATTGCTGCGAAAGGCAACTGTTGTGTTTGTAGTTTGATGAGCATGCTGTGCTGAAATAACTATATTTTTCAATAATATTATTTTTTAATCATAAAATAAAATGCAATTTATGCTAGAAAAATCAATTAGTACTTATAAGTTAATATGCACTATATCTAATATTTAGATATTATTTTACAATATTGTCCATCAAAACAGTTTCACATGAGTGTTGTACTATCAATTTGATAGGAGCTAAGAATATCATGAGACACATGAAGATAAAATTTTATGTGAGGATCAGCGCCAATTAAACATCAAGATATATGAGTGAAAGAAGTTTAATTGGAAATAAGTTTAATTAGATTACACTTTTTATTTTTTTTCCAGTGATAGTATGGAAAATATATTGATAATGGTTTGACATCCATTTGTAAAATATATAATATGAAAAAAAAAAAGATGATGTGATTAGTTTTGGCTCTCGGTTTTACAAAGATGGAGAACCAAAGTAAATAAACAATTTTGTTGCTCTCCTTTCGAAAGGAAGATTATTTGGTATATGATTCTTGGTTATCATAAGATAATGGATGATTGTTGTCATAAGATAATTGATCAAAGTTAGTTGATAGAGGGAGACAATTAGACTTCAATGGAGCACGTTGATAAAAATATGGTTATTTTGAGACGTCTGTTAACTTTGTCCAAAGAATGTCTTATTGATCTTCTGATGGATCTTAAATGATGATTTCAAGCAGTTTTGATCTTTAAATTTTCTTAGGTTAACTTCTTGCATGCTCAAGCACTAGCACAAAGCATGAACCAGCTTGGTTTGCTTATAAGTAGAGTATCAAGAAGTGGTTGCACTTTGATTGAGCCAAATAAATGAGCTGAAGGAATATATGTTTAAGATCATATAGGAAACATGAATTTTGTTCCCCGACGCATCCAAGAATGCATATAATATGAATGGGCTTGGTAGTTCGCAAACGAGACTCACCAATATGGGAATTGAAGGGCTCTTGAACCGAGACTTTAATACGAAAAAGAAGGATAATAAGGCAAAGATCAATGTAGAACACATTCTCAAAAGAGATTGCAGAAGTTGAAAGTACTGAGGTTATTCAAGGTTGCATCCTAGGAATCTTATAAGGGAAAATCAAGTCCTACACCCAATGTAATTTCTTTTGAGTCAGTTATATGTTTGTAATTCTTCATAACGTTGAAGGAATCAACTTTATGTTGGTTCAACAACTTGCCCGCGGAAGTCATCACTTCCTTTGGAGAGTTCAAACGGATGTTTTGCTGACCTCATTTTTTGTCACATATGACTTGCATGTGCCTTTCCCTCACGCAAATTTTTGGCCTGGCACGGGCGTGACCGTATCTAAATGTTTCTCAAAGTGGTCATGCCCAGTTCAGGCATGACCACACCCAAGAACGTCCATAAGCCATGCTAGTTATCTGTGTCCTTTCACCATGGTTTTTACTTTGCCAACATTGATCTGTGACACCTCCAACTGTCGGAATGATCTAGGTCATTGACTCACCACCAATTGATGGCTACAGACAAACTCCTTGACCTATAAATAGGCACATGTTTCCTCTGTCTCAACATTCTGGCTCCCTCAAGTTTTCTCCCATTCCTTCGGTCTCCATTTTAGAGAATAGAGGAAGACAAAGGAAGAAATCTCTCTGATAAGTCATCTCTTCTCTCCTCTTTTATTTAAATTTAGGTTTATGCTAGGCTAACCCAACTCAATAGATTTGGATTAGGCTTGGGTTTGGGTTCAACTCCAGTTGACCCTGACCCGACTTCACCCTCACCCAACCTAGACCCGACTGACCATATCTTGACCTGACCCGACCCAATTTAGATGTGACATGACCCAACCCATACCCATTCTAACTCTGACCTAACCTGACACAACCCAAAACAAACTGGGTGTAACTAGCTTCACCAAGCTCAACTTATATCCAACCCTTGTCAACCCATGTCAACTCAGGTCCAACTCCAGCCCAAACCAACTGACCTCTTACATCATACCTCAGCTCAGCCCTAACTTAAGTTTAATCAAGGCTAAAAAAAATGTCATTTTCATGCCTAGTTTTATGTTTTATATTCCATGTGTAGTCTTCCAAAATAAAACCAAAGGTATATATATATATATATATATATATA